TTGTTGGATTTTGAGACTGGAGATAAAGACTGAAGAATTGTCCACTTCTGTTGTCTAAACCTTGGAGGAGGGAGTGAGTCCCTAGAAAGGGTGAGGGAGTGGGCAGGTGCAGGAACTAGGAGCGAGTCTTCACTCAAGGCCACGTGAAGCGGAGCCACGGAGGAGAAGGAGGAGCCCTGACTGGCAGGGAGATGGCAGGCACGCCCCATGCACCCCGCCGTGCCCTCAGGCAGACATTGCTAATTGATGGCAGCATCCGTCTTTCAGAGCCCGGAGCCAGCCTTGGGACCCTCACCGTGGGATTTCCTGAGGCTGCTCCGAGCTGCCTGGGCGGATGAAGGAGTTGAGGACTGTCTTGCTCGCTCTCATAGCTCTCAGAGTGGAAGGGGCCCTGCCGACCATCCTGGAGATGCTGAGTTCCCTCCCACCAGGGATTGAAACCCCAGAGGAGCCGAGCCCAGCAGTGCCAGCAGCAGATGATTGAAGGGCTAGGATTGCCTGCCTCTCAGGTCTCCACCGCTTTTCCTGTCCTTGGGTTGACTCCCCAGGGCCCCCGGCACAGGTGTCACCCTCTCCTCCATCAGACAGAACTCAGGAGGCCCCAGGAGTGCCGCTTGGCATTGCACTCCCCTGGGGCTGCTTGGTGACCTCCACCAAGAGTAGGGAAGCACCGCAGAAGGGACCTTGCAGGAAGAGGAGGGCGGCGCACTCGCAGCTGCGCTGTCACCGACAGCCTCGTGCGCTGCGTTGGTTCACTTTGGGCCTGCCGTTCACTGCAGCCACTCAGCCTTTTCGTATTTGCAGCTGGTAAAGCAAACGTTCCCCCAGACCTGACTTCCCAGTCATATGTGACCTGTTTCTGTCACTGGGTTTGTCCATCCTGCTCTGAAGTCCTCCCTCTGGAGCAGCCAGGGACCGAGCGCTGCATCCGTGTCCAGCAGGAGCCAGCAACCGAGCTCTGCGTCCGTGTCCAGCAGGAGCAGCCCTTTGTCTGTAGTTGTCATGAACGCAGCGTGTTGTGTTGGGAATAGCACTCAAGCAAGATGCTTATTTAAAAAAAAAAATTATTTGTTTATTTGAAAGTGAGAGTTACAGCAAGAGAAGAAGAGACAGAGAGATCTTCCATCTGCTGACTCACTCCCCAGATGGCTGCAATAGCTGGGGCTGGGCTAGGCCCAAGCCAGGAGCCAGGAGCTTCTTCCAGGTCTCCCACATGAGCAGCAGGGGCTCAGGCACTTGGGCCATCTTCCACTGCTTTCCCAGCCCATTGGTGGGGAGCTGGATTGGAAATGGAGCAGCCAGGACTTGAGCCGGCGCCCATATGGGATGCCAGGGTTGCAGGTGGCAGCTTCACGCACTGTGCCATAATGCCAGCCCCCGTGTAAGATGTGTAGGCGCTGTTGTCTTCATGATCAATGGCGTCTGAGAGGTGGGAGGTCTTCAGATCCCTGGCGCTTGGCCTCAGAGAGGATTGATCGCTTGAGTTCAAGTTCTACAGCTCTCTCTCTCTGCCTCCTGGCTTTCCACGGGCTCCCTCCTCCCTCCCCACCGTGGCAAGCGTCCACCAGGCTCTGGGGCCACCCACTCCTCAGCCGTCACCTGCAGACTGCAAGCTGAAATAAGCTTTTCTTCCCCAAGAAGCTCCCCGCAGGTGTGGGTGAGTAGGGCTTGTGCGTGACTCTGGAGAAGGTGGAACAGGAGAGCAGGCTGGTTTGTGCAGAAATTTAACTGGAAAGCTGACGGTTGTGAATTTTAGAAGACCCAGCAGATCCTGGTCGGAGGGAACTGTTCTGTGTGTATTCGAAGTGCACAGATTTAAAAGATGGGGGAGCTCGCTCAGGGAATCTCCCAGCGACTGAGCGCCGGTCCCGTCCAGGAATCCCCTAGACTCCCCCGTGGTCTCCTTGTGAATGGCACGCTTCTTTCCCGCCTGACCACCAGGTCACTGGGACAGCTGTTGCACTGCCTTGCAAGAATCCTCAATGGAAGGGGTTGTGATTCCTGGAATTAAGACTTGAAAGCCCAGGGATCAAGGAGCCAGACCTTAAAAATCTGCAGGTGCAGTGGCCCGGCCCCTAATTGCCAGGTGTAATTGCAAGTCAGTCATGGGGAAACCTATTTAAAAGTCACGGGGATTGTGTTTTTCGATGAAAGGGCCCAACAAGCCCCGAGTGTCCAGGTCTTCCTGTGGGCACCCCTGGCCTCCCTCCCCCGTCTCCCGTCCCAGGCAGGCAGAGCGCGCTGCCTGTGCACACACACAGGGATTGTCTGTTCTCTGCGCTGAGGAGCTCTGTACACGGGAGGGAGACTCCTTGACGAATCTCTGGCTTTCTGGACTCTGGTTTGCAGCCCTTCAGCAGTCAGCAACTAACCGGGTTCAGAGAGGGGAGCGTTCTCGCTGCATTCGCCAGCTCTCCGTCACTGTAATGAAATACCCAAGGCAGACCCACTTTCTAGAGCAAAGGGGTCTGTCTTGGCTCCTGGTCCAAGTCTGGGGCCTCAGCTGGCAAAGGTCTCCTTGCTGGCCGAGTCCCATAGGGGTGCAGGGCGTGAGGCAGGGAACGTGTGTGTCTCTGTCTTTGCCTCTTTCTCTCTCTCTCTCTTCTCCTGTAGAGCCACAGGGTTTAAATCGTGGAGTCTGCATCAGCACAGATGCCCTTAGAGGGCTCATGGGCCAGAGCCGGGGGCTGCAGGGCCTAGGCCTGGCCCTCAGCACAGCCGCTGGTCACAGTCAGGGAGTCACAGGCCCCAGGGAGGCTGCTAGAGGCCACAGGCCCTCTGGGCAGGTGCACTGAGGCGGGGTGCTCTCAGGAGAAGCCCTGGGCTTGCGGTGCCTTCCTGCCCGCCCCACCCTAGGTGCTGCTCGGAGCAAGCCCCGCAGGTTGAGGGGTGATTCAGCCTGAAGCAGCTGATTGTGCACCCACGGGAGCCAGCTCGTTGTTTGCAAGACGTGGAAAGACTTCACAGGAAGTGGCACCGCCTGGCCGCTGCGGGGACCAGTGGTGCTCATTTACGGGAGCAGCGAGCATCTGGTTCCCGGGTGCTGTCCCTTGGCGTCAGCAGGAAGGGGTCTCGGCCGCCAGAGGGGGGCTGCGTGCCTCCTGAGACTGAGGGGAGGAGGAAAGCGTGGCTGGAGGCAGGCGGCCCGAGTGGCCAGCTCTCTCCTGCTTCGGGCAGCTGGTGAGGCAGGGCCTTGGGGAGCCGGCCCAGGCCCAGGCCCACCCAGAGCTGCAGCAGAGGAGCTCAGAGCGTGAGGGTCAGAGGATCGCACGTGAGGTGTGAGCCCGCCGAACCCAGCGTGTGGATGGCTGAGACAGCAAACGGGTGAAATGCTGGGCAGGCAGGTAGACCATCACCATTATCGTTAAAGATTGATTGATTGATTGATGTGACAGGCACAGTGACAGAGACAGGGAGGGAGAGAGAGATCTTTCACCTGCTGGTCACCGCCTAAATGCCCAGGGCCAGACGGAAGCCAAGAGCCAGGATCTTGATGCAGGTCTCCCACGTGGGTGGCAGGGACCCAAGCACTTGGGCCATCTTTGCTGCCTCCCCAGGCCGTCAGCAGGGAGCTGAGTCTGAATAGGGCAGCCAGGACTCAAGCCCACACTCGGGTCTGGGCTGCCCGCACCCCAGTGGCGGCCTATCCCAGGGGGCCACAGCACTAAACCCAGCTGCCTTTGTTAGGACTGCTCACCAGGTGATTGCAAGTCCGTGGGCCCCCGGGCCAGCGTGGGGGTGCTGTGTGTACCTAGTTCTGCTCTGTGTGAGCGGGAGCCTCCCTCCCCCTGGCTGAGGCTAGGAATAAGGGCCAAGGCTGGCGTGTTCATGGAGCCCTCGTGGACACGGCCCTGCGTCTGTTGGCATTGCCACAAGGGGACTTCAAGAAATGCTTGGGGAAAAAAAAAAAAAAACAGAATTAAAAGATGTTTGTTTGCATGCACAAAAATGCATATATTTTTGGAATGCACATATAGTTTCTTCACAACATGCATTTATTTCCATGACCCTGCGGAAGCCCCGGCACGCACTTGCTCGCTGGGCAGAGAAGGTGCTGGCCGAGTGCAGGGACTTAGGCTGAGTCACGTGTCCCGTGGTGTGGACGCTACCGCGTCCCTCACTTCCCGATCCAGACAGCCGCCCCGCCACAGCGTGCAAGGCACGGACGGCCCTTCCAGGGCCCCCGCGGTCCACGCGTGCATCACCCTGAACACGTGGCAGTGAAATCTTTTCCCGCTTGCTCTTAGAAGAACAGAACATCACACATTCCCTGGACATGGCGCGTGTGCGGCTGCGCGCACAGATGCGCATGAAGAACACAAGCTGCAGCCCCAGACCAGCAGTGCTAACTTGACTGTCACCCCCACAGACCTGAGGCCAGCAGCAAGTGACAGCACCATTTCCCTGAGTCTCTCTCTCTCTCTCTCTCAATATACCTATTTATTTATTTGAAAGGTAGAGTTACAGAGAGAGAGAGGGAGACACAGAGACAGAGAGAGCTTCCACCCACTGGCTCATTCCCCAAATGGGCGCAGTGGTCGGGGCTGGTGCAACCCAAAGGCAGAAGCCAGGAAGGAGCTCTGTCCAGGTCTTCTACGTGGGTGACAAAGGCCCGGCTACTTGGGCCATTTCCCAGGTGAATAAGCAGGGAGCCGGGTCAGAGGTAGAGCCGCCAAGACTCGAACTGGCACTCCCATATGGGGTCCGGTGCCTCGGTGGCTGTTTAACCCGCTTTTCCACAATGCCAGCCCCTTCCCTGAGTCTCTTGATCTGTGCCCAGCACAGAGACACCAGCATCACATCTGGCTGCCATGTCCCCGTGTCCCTGCCACGGCCAGCTGCAGCCACAGAGCACGGAGTATGCACAGGTGTGGATTCAGATGGCCGCGGCCCCGCTGTCCTGGGCTGCGTGTGCTGAAAAGCACTGCGGTGACGGGGGATGTGCAGGGGGGTGGCTGCCTCACGCGAGCTGAACTCTGGTCCCCCACCCTGTGTTTCAGAGCAAGAGGAGAACTTCGAGTTCATCATCGTGTCGCTCACGGGGCAGACGTGGCACTTTGAGGCCACCACGTACGAAGAGCGGGACGCGTGGGTCCAAGCCATCGAGAGCCAGATCCTAGCCAGCCTCCAGTCCTGCGAGAGCAGCAGGAATAAGGTAAGGCCCCAGCGGGACACAGGGCCAGGCCCCTGGAGGGCAGAGTGTCGGCAGAGTCTGTGGAAGGCTGAAGACCTTCTGTGGCCAAGCACCAGTCTCCAGGCCCGGCCGGGTCTGTGTGGCACGGTGGCCGGACTGCATCCTTAGCCTCCCAGCGAGTCGCAGAGGGACGGAACTGGCCTTGTGTCACAGGGGATGGACTCGTGGGGCTCCTGCATGCACCTGTATTTCGGTTTCGGGTGAAATGTACCCAGATAAAGAGATGCAGACCGGAAGAGCGACGTTCCGCCCCCACGCATGCCCCAGATGCAAATCCACCTCAAGCTGGGAGCTGCCTCTTGTTGGAGATGGGAAGGAAGAGAAAGATGGATTTCTGTTTTCTGAGCTGCTGGTAAAGGCCAGTGTGTGTTTGCTTCAATAATTACAGACAACCCTTCTGCAGTTGTTTAGCCACGGGGGAAAAAAAAAAAAAAGATTTTAAACTGCATTTGCTAGGCTACTGCCCAGCAGTATCCTTTATTCAAAATTCATTTTTCCCATCAAGGGTTCCTTGAGTTTCTTGATTCTAATGATGGGATTTTTTAAAGCCCTTTGCTGGGACATTTTTGACTCTAAGAGAGCATTTCGATTTTTCAGACTATGATCAGCTGGAAACAGAGAGAAAGGACCTTGCCTGCCAGCCTGCAGCCGCGTTTGTAACCATTTAAAGAAATGCCTGCCCATGATTTATGTTCAGCTTTGTCATTAAGAAGGGAGTCTGTCTCTCAGAAAGACAGAGTGTCTTATTTTATTACCCTTTTTAACCAGGGTAAACCAGACCACACTCATTATTATTATAATGTAATTTGCTTCCCTTTTTTAAGGATGTTTTATACCCAAGGTAGAGAGAGCCAGCCACTGCCTTCTTTCTGAGCGCCGGGGCTCACTGGGTCACGTCCACGTGCAGCCAGACGTGGTTCCTGAGATGCTGCCCCCCAGGGAGCCCTGGGTCCCCTTGTCCTTGGGCCTCAAGGCCGTGTGCCGTCCCCAGACCTGCAGATTTCCTTTCGGAACAGGAGGCCGGAGCCAGTGTCACTGGGCACACAAATGCGACCCTCAGTTCTACAGGGAAAAGGGTGTCCTCTCTCCTGGTGGATCTGGGTCTGTGACAATCATGGCCTCCTGTCTCCCACATTGGCCAGCCCGTCCCAGCAGTTCCCCCGTGAGAGTGGGTGGCGTACACCTGGGGCAGGTGCAAATTCCGGCCTTCCACTGAGCTCCCGGTGTGTTCTCCAGGAGGGCGCCCTGGGAGAAGGCAGACTCTTAGCCCTGCCTACTGTGCGCACCTGCTGACAGGCGTGAGAGTCTAAAGGCTCAGTTGAGAGTGATCTGTGCAGTGTCTCAGCTGCCTGGAGGTAGTTTGGAGTGGACGTGGACACATGAACCGACCGGTCAGCTGGCCAGCAAACCACAGAAATTACCCTGGTGCACTGGGGCAGAGACCAGCATGTCCCTCTGTGTGCACACGTATGCTCTCTGGATACCTGTATAGAAAGTTAAACATGTTTTGAATAGGTGAACAAAAATCCAAACGGATTAAAATCTCAGGAATGCCATGATGCTAATTAGGAAACCGTAATTAATAAGTTATAATCCATTATTATATAATTAAGTAATAAATTGTTGCACATCAGATAACTTGACATAAGATAGTTCAGCTTACAAAGAACTCTTACACAGAAATGAAGCTTATTATAACTGTCCTCTGATACCTGTTTTCACTTAGACCTTAATATTAGATGTCTATTTAATAAACAAAAGCCTGAAAACGATTCACACCCTTTTACGTCTGGTCTGCGTCCAGGAGCTCATCCTTGGTAAATGACCACGAATACATGTGTGGGTTTAGCACTGAGCACACTCTATAGCCCTGTCTGTGAAACAGAAAAGTCTGTCAGAGAACCTGGTAGAGGAGTCGTCGGTGGGTGGGGTACTCTGCCCCCATTTAAAACACTGACATCCGAGAGGTCCCAACACCGTGTCACATCAGCCTGTGGGAAGTGCCTGTGTGCCCACAGGAGAGAGGGCTGAGTGTCACTCACGCTGCACCACGATGGTCAGTCGATAGGTCATACGTCCCTAGGTTCACTTCACTCTCCGTGTTTCTAAAGCGGCTGCAATAAGCGTGCATGTCTTCTTTTTTTTCTTTTTTTAAGATTTATTTGTTTATTTGAAAGTCAGAGTTGCAGAGAGAAAGAAAGAGGTCTTCCATCTACTGGTTCACTCCCCAGTTGGCCTCAAGGGCCAGAGCTGAGCCAGTCCAAAGCCAGGAGCCAGGAGCTTCTTCTGGGTCTCCCGCGTGGGTGCAGGGGCCCAAGGACCTGGGCCATCTTCTGCTGCTTTCCCAGACCATAGCAGAGAGCTGGGTGGGAAATGGAGCAGCCAGGTCTCGAACCAGCACCCATATGGGATGCCGGCGCTGCTGACAGCGACTTTACCCGCTACGCCACCATGCCGGCCCCAGCGTAGTTTCTTGAATCTCTTCTAAAGAGGGTGTAATTTAAGAGAGACAGCCCCCAGCTCTCCTCCCCCTCCCCCGGCCCCTGCTCTGGCGCCGACTTTGTTGCTGAACCAGCCGAGGTCTGTTCAGATGTGAAATGGCGCCCCTGGCGCGGCGCGTCACCAGATCGCTTCCTCCCTGCTCTTCAGTCCTCGTCCCGGGCAGGGGTGTGGTGGTGACAGCGCTGTGACCAGAGCCCTCAGGTGCCTGCTGGTCTCCCGGTGCACCCACAGAGGACCCAGAGCTCCCCTCTGTGCCCGCTTCTGCCCGAGTCCCCTCAGCCGACAAGCCCGGGCGTGCACAGCGGGTCCTCGCTCAGTGAGGCTGCTTGCTGAAGACCTCAGTCGGAAAACGCCGTCACCCCGCGTGCGCGCGCCGCGCCGTGCCGTGACCCTCTCTGTCTGTTGATCCGGCCTCATCTCTTGCGCCTGTCTCTCTCTCTCCCTGTACCCAGTCCCGACTCACCAGCCAGAGTGAAGCCATGGCCCTGCAGTCGATCCGGAACATCCGCGGGAACTCCCACTGTGTGGACTGCGACACCCAGAGTAAGTGCGGCCTGGGGACCCGGGCCCGGTTGGGCCACGGCGATGGGGGCAGACACAGCTTCGTGGCTCTGAAGGACCTGAACCGTTTTGGATTTTTGTCTGCCGCAGCGCTCATCCCGCCAAGGCCTCGCTGACGGCGCTGGTGCCCTGAGTCCCACGGGGGCAGCAGCCGTCCCAGGGGGGCGCCCCGTGCACCCCGCGCCCCGTGCCTTATGTGGGCGTGACCTTTTGCTTAATCAACTGCCGTTTGTTTGTTTGCCTTTTCCATAAAATAGGGTGTAATTGATTCATTCCTGCCCAGTGACTTCTGGGTTTTGTTTTGCTTTGTTTTTTGATTTCAAAACCATGCGTGTGGGTTTTGCCTTCAACTGACATCTTTCTCCTTTCTGTTAATCTTCAGTTTGTGACACAGTGTAAAGCATTTGGGCCGACAGAATTAATTCATAGTGACTGCTCCCTGCCTTGGAGTAACACGGCTTTGTCTCCTGCTTTCTGTTGCGATAATATCTTCTTGAGAAAATTTCTTGCTCATATCCTCGAGGGTAGGGACTTCTCTGCATCTCTAATTCCAAGCCTGGAAAAGTTTGCCTTCAGTAGATCACTCCCCATCGGTTCTTCTTTGGTTTTATTTATTCTCATTGTACTTGCAAGGCAGGGAGAGAGAGACGGACAGCGATCAGCCATTTGCTGGGTCACTCCCCAGATACGTGCAACAGCTGGAACTGGGCCACTCCAAAGCCAAGAAGCCTGGAACTCGCTCCAGGGCGCCCAGGCGGTGGCAGAGCCCCCAGGGACTCGAGCCATTCTGTTGCCTCCCAGAATGTGCATTAATGGGAAGTGGGAATGGGAAGCTGAGAGGGGACTTGAACCCGGGCTCTGACACAGATGCAGGCATTGCAGGCAGTATCCTAGCTGCTGAGCTGAGCTGACCACCCACCCCCAGTCACGTGTTGTTAAGGCAGTGTTTGGAAGAGAAGGAAATCCAGTTCCAACAAGAGGCAAGGCACAGGTACCAGCCTGGGTGCTGCCTACGAGTCAGATGCGTGCCACGTGGTCGGTCACGGCCATCCTAGGGCCTGAAGCCCGGTGGCCGAGACACAAGCCCAGCGCCCGCACATCTGGGCACAGCGCAGGGGTGGGGGACCACGCCAAGCAGACTTCCTGTGGGAGCTGTAGCACTGGTGGCTCAGCCAGCCCTGGGGAAGGAGACTCGTGGACGCCTGGGGGACACGAGCAGGTGTTGGGCTGACTGAGGCTCCTCCGGTCCCCGCTCAGAGGCAGAGGGAGACTGTTAGCGGTCCCCGGCAGGGGAGACGTCGGTGCTGTCCTGGAAGTGCCGATTGGGCTGTTCCATTTCTGACAGATTGGAAGAGAGAGTGAGAAGGAGCTGGCCCGGTGGGTGTGAGGCCTCTCTCCAAGTGGGAAATGAGGCACCAGCCAGGGCTGTTCCAGATGGGAGGGAGGGGAGGGGCTGTCTCTGAGACAGAGCCAGGAAGGCTGTCCTCCGGGTGGGGCAGTGTTTATCCTTAAGTGTCCTCAGGTACCTTTTTTTTTTTTTTTTTAAGATTTATTTCTTTATTTGAAATGCAAAATGAGAGAGAGAGATTGATCCATCTTCCATCTGCTAGTACACTCCCCACATGGCCACAACGGCCAGGGCTGAGCTGGGCTGAGCCAGGAGCCAGGAGCTTCCTCCAGGTCTCCCACACGGGTGCAGGGCCCAAGGACTTGGGCCATCTTCTACTGCTTTCCCGGGCCTCAGCAGGGAGCTGGATGGGAAGCAGAGCAGCCGGGACCCACGCAAGCCGTGCTTAAGATGCTGTACCGCAGCGGCGGCCCCTAAAGACACGTCTTTAAAGGGCCTTCTTTTGTTTGACTTTTCAAATTTAGCTTTCAGAAATGCATGCTGAAATGCAGCTGGAGGGCGCGGCAGCCGTGTAAAGTGTGTTTTCATCCTAAACGCGCTCAAGGAAGGCCTTTCCTAAAAGCAAACTCTGAGACACGGTAGCGCACGCACCAGGGGATCAGCCACAGCCCTTCGCCGTTCTGCAGACGGCTGCGGGAGGCCCGTGGCTCCCGGGGGCCATGGCGTGCGCAGGGGAGGCCTCGGGTCTGCAAGTGCTGAGCAGGGAGAGGAGGGCGGGACCACCTGAGCAGTCTCACCGGCAAGGGGATTGAGGGGAGGCAGCATCTGACGGCCCGGGAGAAAGGGGACAGGCAGGCATCCATCTGTGAGGGGCATGGTCTCCCAAAGCCTCCTGGGTTGTCTTCCTGAAGTCCTGTGACTCTGGGAGCGGGTGCCGCGGGGGGCGCCCCCCCGTGGACAGGGGTGCAGATGCAGCAGCGCCAAGCCTCCAGGCGAGACTCAGACGTGATCTCTGACAGCTGCCGCGTGGCTCGCACGCCAGAGGCCCTGGGGAGCCGCAGGGCCTGAGGCCAAGGACACCTGCACAACCATTTGGGTTTTTTTTTTTTTTTTCTATTTGAGGGACAGATCTTCTAGACACTGGTTCACTCCCCAAATGCCCACAAGGCCGAGGCCGAGGCAAGGCCCAAGCCAGGAGGCAGGAACTCCATGTGGGTCTCCCACAATGGTGGCAGGGATCCAAGGACTTGAACCCTCACCTCTTGCCTCCCAAGGTCTGCATCGGCAGGAAACTGGAATCAGGAATGGAGCCTGGACTCAAACCCAGGCACGCAGATACGTGGTCCCAGGTGGTGTCTCCCACACTGCTAAGTGCCCACTCCGCCCGCAGGGATGTTTTAAGTCCAAATGCCCAGTTTTGATGAAACTGCTGGAACAAGCATGGTCCCCACGCTGACGGAGAAGTGGAAACCCCTCTCCAGGGCAGCTGGCAGTGTATACAGAGGCCTTTTAAAGAGCGGCCCCAGCTGTATACTCTGGGAGCTAAACCAACAGGGATGAGTCGGGCAGGCCCAGGGACCTCGCCTGAACGGTGTTCAAAGCGCTGCTGGTTATGGGCTGAAAACCCAGAAGCACCTCCAATGCAGAATCTGAGGACAGTGAAGGGTGGTGTCCGGGGCTGGTGCAGGAGCCGCTCAGACTCTGGGTGAGAGCCCCGCCCCTCAGCAGCCGTCGCCGCCCACCAACACCGTCCACGGTTACCCCCACGTTGCCCCTTCACAGCGAGGCTCGGGGACGTTCTTGCGGCCTGGGGTTCAGATCTGCAGACACAGCCGCCCCACATGGTGCTCGCCAGGAGCCGCCTGCCTGCACAGCTGGCCGGTGCCGCCTCGCTGAAGTGCAGCCTTGGCACATGGAGGCTTCTGGGAGCCCGGTCACACAGGCGCCCGTTGCCCAGGGGCCCACCCAGTGTGTGGCAGACCCCGCTGCCTGCAGAGGTCTTTGTTTCGAGTGCCTGTGGCCACCCCTCGGCCAGGATCATGCCAAGGAAAGTCCACCCTTGGGGCCCGTGAGGACGCACGGGAGATGGGCAGTGGTATAGGGAGCAAAGAGAGCCCGGGGGGAGAGGGGAGCAATGGGACGTTCACCACTGAACTTGGGGAAGCAGGAAGAGCCAGGCGCCCCTGGGGGTGCACTTGCTGGTGCTTCTCATGCAATGCACGGGGCCTGCCCACACCCCAGCTCACACCACAGAGCCTCACCCTCTTTGAGGTCAGGTTCCCGGATTGGCACGTGGGGTCAGCTGATTTCACCGTAATGGCTGCTGCAGTCCCGCGGTCAGACTGAGGCCCTCGGTGGCTTCCCAGCCAGCCCTGGCCTGGCCTGGCCACCCTCGCTCCCACCAGCCCCTCCGGCGTGTCCTCTGCGTTAGGCCAGTCTTCACCCGCCTGAGAAGTACACATCGAGGTGGGCCAAGGAGCTGGAGGAGGTGGCACGCACTAAAGGCGCTGTCCCTGCTCCTGACCCCGCTACAGGCACCAGGGTCTCTGCGGGCCAAGCCCCAGCTCCTGCACCTGAGGCAGCGGTGGCCGAAGAAGTCTTTCCTAGGACAAGAGATTGCAGCTGAGGCCCAAGGATAAGTAGCAGGTGCACCAGGCAGGGGGCGGGGCCGGAACTTGCAGGTGCTCAGGTGAGACGGGTGAGACAGGGACGCTGCATTCTCATCCTGGTGGGAGGGATTAGACTTGATCCGAACGGCGAGCGGCACCCCTGGAGGGGATCTAAATGTTGGCACAACGCGATCAGTTCTGCCATGGTTGACAGGACGCTGGTCCCAGCGGACACAGGTCTCCAGGGAGGTAGAAGCTGAGGCCACAGACAGAAGCCTCTGGCCCCTGGCTTGCGATGGTGGTGAGGATGAGGGAGGGAGCAGTGTGGTGTTAGGGCACAGTGGGTGAAGCTGCCAGCATCCCATGTGGATGCCAGTTCATATCCCAGCCGCTCCACTTCTGATCCAGCTCCCTGCTACTGTGCCTGGGAAAGCAGCAGAGGATGGCCCAGGTGCTTGGTCCCCTGCACCCACGTGGGAGACCCAGATGTAGCTCCTGGCTTCCGCCTGGCCCAGCCCTGGCCATTGTGGCCATTTGGGGAGTGAACCAGCAAACTGACGGTCTTTCTCTCTGTCTCTTGACTCTGTCCCTCTCCCTCTCTCCCTCCAAACTCTGCCTTTCAAGTAGATAAATCATTAAAAAACTAAATAAAAAGGAAAGGATGGGATCTGAGAGTGAGTGAGAACTTGGTGATCAGCTGCGGGGGTGAGGGAGGAGCCAAACCTGATTGTGAGGATCCTGGGTTGAGGGACTGGGGGTGCTGGCGCCATGCAGTGAGGGAGGTAGCTTTGCAGAGGTGGTAGGCGAGTATCTGCAGGGTGTCCAGATGGAAGCGCCCCTCAGGAATGAGGAAGAGGCGGAGCTGAAGATGGGTGTCAGCACTTGGATTGTCACTGAGGCCAGGGCGTGGGTTGAAAGAACGGAATCGGAAGAGGAGATGCCTGTAGGCTAGGGGCGATCCAGGCAATCAAGACGGAGCAGCTAGGGAAGCAAGAGAAAAGGCTAGGGTGGTCGTCAGCCAAGATGGGGTCAGAGGTCAGCGCTGGGAGGAGAAAGGCAGGCCGTGTGCTGCCAGCAAGAGGGAAAGCAGAGAGGGGTCCTGCGGGTTCGGCCCATGGAGGCGGCCTCGGCTGCCCTGTCGCAGCGGGCAGGGTGGTGCAGGCTGGGGCGCTGAGCAGCAGGTGCTGCCGGAGTTGCTCTGTGAAGGGAAATGTAGACACGGGGTGAGGGCTGCAGGGGAGCAGAGTGGAGAGGCAGGATGCTCACCGCCCCCCCACGCCTCCTCCCCAAACACCCCGAGGCCGGGCAGGCCCTCCCGCTCGCCGTCCCCTCCTGTTCTGACTGTCCCCTTCAGCATCGAGCGTGTCCATGCTGTGACGATGGTGGGGGTGGGGGGTGATGCTGTAGGGGCTTAGGGGACCCTCTCAGAGGCCACAGCCCCCTGCGGGATGTACCAGGGTACTCTGCAGAGTTCATGGAAAACTTGGCTTCAAACACAAATTTATTTGTCTGCAAAAAGTTTTGAAATCTACAGATTTTTTTTTTCATCATACACCTTTTCCATGCACTTTAAATAAATGGCCGGCTGGTTTCTGAGCAGTTAGCCCGAGGCCATCCCTGGTCATTTGCCGTTCACAGAAGGAAGGGCAACTCCTCGGTGGTTAACTAGGACGCCTGGTTTCTCCTCCATTCAGTGTACCGGGGGTCAGTATGGAGTGTGCCTGGGTGAGTTCAGGCCTCCTCTGCTCCGGCATGCTGAGAGCCACTGACAGCAACGTCAGCCCGCCTGGGCCTCCTGAGTGGTGCCATTGCGGGCTGAACTGGCTCACCGTCCTTGGTACAGAATCACAGCCCAGAGAGGTGCATCCCTCCCGCAGCCCTGGTCCACGGAGCGAGGTGGTGTCAGAACCACGGGACCGAAGGGTGAGACCCCGGAGTGTGACCCGCGCAGAAGACCACTGAGCTCCGCGTGTGCCCCTCCCCCGCCCAGACATTCCCAGGCTGGCGCATCATGCGCTAAGGAAGATTCCTGGGGACGCTGGTGGCGCAGCCCCGGCTGTGAGGGCATCTGCTCGTGCCCTCTGCACCCCCCTCGTTCCGTCATCCCCAGCTGCCCCCCATGGATGCCAGGCCACCTGCAGGTTCTTCTCTGTGCTGCGAAAGTCGTGCAGAGTTCGCCTTTCTCTCCAGATCAGTCGTGTTGCCTGTTGGGTGGGAAATGCCAAGGCTTTGATTGAAGCGAAAGTTTTCAGTAGCTGAGCACGCACAGAGCCGTCTGAGATCCTGACAGCAGCCAGACTGGGCCAGGGAGCAGGCCGCCCGCTGCAGGCACGTGGCTGGTGGGGGCGGGGCTGCTGGGGGTGACGTCTCGCTGGCTGGCTGGTCGTTTTGTTGTAAGACTCTGGGGCGCGGGAAGCAGCGATGATGTTCTCACCGCCTGTGGCCCCCCGCCTCTCCCCTAGATCCCAACTGGGCCAGCTTGAACTTGGGAGCCCTCATGTGCATCGAGTGCTCGGGGATCCACCGGAATCTCGGCACCCACCTTTCTCGAGTCCGCTCCCTGGACCTGGACGACTGGCCGGTGGAGCTGATCAAGGTGATGTCGGCCATCGGCAACGAGCTGGCCAACAGCGTCTGGGAGGAGAGCTGCCAGGGGCGGGCAAAACCCTCGCTGGACTCCACCAGGTAGGAGCGTGGCGGGGGTCGGGGTGGCTGCCGCTGCGTTTGCCGGCAATGACCCCCACTGGAAATGACCTCAGCGAGGGCCACAGCTGGAATGCCACGGCAGCCAGCGTGGAGGTGTTGGCATGGCTAACTCCAGCTCCATAATTCTTTACGTGTGTTTTCAGGTCTTGGGGGACTTCTCTCCCCCTCTCAGAAGTATGAGTATTTGACTTGAATCCGTACATTTCTAATGTGCATAACTGTGCTGTGAACGCTCATTAGGAGTTTGGGTTCTTTAATTTCATTATTGTATCATTGATAAGCACCTGCTCTGTTGGCCCCGCCCCCCCACACTAGTGGTTTTGTGGTGACAGAATATATCTTCTAAAACACGCATCCAGCACGTTTAATCAGCCGAGTCCGGCATGGCGTGTGGTGTCCCCTTGTTGCGTGCGCACTACTTGGAGCCTGCATATTTTCTCGTGTTTCACTGATGGCTGTTACAAGCTGCTCCTGTGTACACATGCGTGTTTCATGCTCTCATGAAGTGAGAGGACGGTGTGCCCGCCGGGTGTGCCCGCCGGGTGTGCCAGGCCGACCCTGGGCTGGCTCGAGCGGGTGGCTTACGGGCTTGCTCAGAAGTTCCGCACACGTGTCGTCTCCCACTTCGGAGGTCGGGGTTCCAGGCTGGCCGTCCGCGTTGGCCTCGCAGCTGTGCCTCCCGACCTTGGCACTGGGGCAACTTCTCTGGTGATCCTGCCTGAGCCCACGCGTGATCGGCTTCTGCGATGGAGTGAGAGTAGCGTGAGGCGCCTGGGAGCCCCGACTCCGTTAACCCAGGGGAGAACTTGGGGTGCCACCCTTGGCGCGTGGCAGGGAACGGAGCCCGTGTGTTAGCCCTGCTCTGAGTTAGCTGTCTGGGGAGGGGGTGAGGAGGCAAGAAAGGTGTTCAGGTGACTTTGATCAGATTGCGTCGGTTTGGTACCCTGTGCAACAGCACCACGTGAGTGCGGGTGACTGAAGAGGGGGCACACTCTGAGAAACCACCCTGGTCTATTCACCACGAACCAGCCAGGCCATCCTCACGAGGATTCCTGAAAGATTAAGTCACGTTCCAAGGTCTGCATTTTAATAGGTGCACTGTCTGTGCAATGTGTGAAATCTGTTGTCTGTATTAGTAGGTTAAAAAGTAACAAAATAGGGTGGCATAGGAGGATACGCTCTGGCCTGAAAATGAATATATTTTGGAAAAGGCTGTTTAATGTAGAAATACAGGAAGCACTGAAACAAGTTGGAGAAAATTAACTTTGCACATCTCACTGTGCGTAAAGTGGCCCTTACGCTGCTTCAATGTGTTAGGGAAGTTTGTCTTGCCACCCGTTAAAATTAGAAACCGTTTACAATGCCAGGAAGCACGGCTCTGTGCTGCTTGTTGAGCTAACACCACCTTATGTCGACCGCATCTTGGTGCACGAGTGCAGAGACCTGAGCTGGTGATTCCCGTAGCACTCAAGCTCTCCCATAACCTGTTCTTCTTGTGTGGAGCGGTTCCAGGAGCCACGCCCACCTCGGGGCCACGCCCACCTCGGGGCCACGCCCACCTCGGACCACCTTCCTCGCCCAGGGAGGGGCTGCGGCCACGCCCACCTCAGAGGCCTCCTTCCTCACAGGGCGAGGCTGCTGCCACGCCCCCTCCCTTTGGTCCCGTGGCTCTGGTGAGCGCCCAGCAGTGTTGCGATTCCTGCGAAGGTAACTGTGGATGTCTACATTCTGCTTCCTTCCGATAACACGTGTGTGAGGTTGGCCGTGTCTGTGCCTGTAGTGTGCTCCCTTAGTATCCACAGAGCCCTTGTTAGAGCAGAAAGGATAACGATGTGCGGGTGCCTGCGGTGATGAGCGACTGGTCTGAGGGCCGGCTCAGATCCCCAGCTGGGAACGGGGCTGAGCTGGGTGCTGACCCGAGGCGGGGTGTCCAGGGCTGTGGAGTGGCCTGGGGTGGGAATGCGGGGGCAGTGAGCGGTTGGACTGGGCCCTCCGGGGCTGAGGGGTGGGGATGGCTGCCTGGGAGGGCCCCTGATGGCTGAGGGGTGAGGATGGCCAGAGGCCAGGTGCGTGCCGTGCCTGGTGCCACACTCGCGAAGCTGGCGGCTCGGCCTGATCGGACAGTCGCACCTCACAGGCCCTCTGCGCTGTCCAACGAAACACAGAATGTCAGCGTGACGGGAAAGTGGGCATCGGTCAGGACTCCCCTCCTCAGGGTGGCCCAAGGTCATACCAGACAGGCCCACTTCAGTAAGCAGATCTGTGTGCAGGGACAAGCCAGGGGCAGCACTTCGGTCTGTGCTTTGCAAAGGACCCCGATGTGTTCCCGAGGCGCTCTGGTCCGTTCCGTCCAGCTCAGAAGATCCATCCTGACGGTGAGATAGCATCAGACGTGTGCTGCCCCCACCTCACATGCACCTGCTCAGACACACACGCACACGGGTGCACACACTAGTACAACACGGATTCAGGACCACGGGAGCAACACAGGGTCGCTCTCCAAGGACACTACCCGTTCCCTGGGGACAGCCGCACGCTGGGGTCCCCAGAGCAGTGGGCGGCCTGGGAGCGCTGGCGCCTTTGAGCTGCAGGCCGGCTTTCCGCCTGCTGTCCGCGCACCCCTGATTAGGGCCACGCGGACGGCTGGTAATTGGTTCCAGGGGTTCTCAGCCGCCCCGAGAACTGCCCGTCAGACTGGAGCGGCATTGTGATCAATCGAAGCTGACGGCGGCTGAAGCGGTATTGACTTCCCACTCCTAAACAGGGGAATCATTAGTCAAGAAAAGCATCTTTTAATTACTCTCAGGAAGAGCAAAAAAAAATCTTTTTGGATGGATCCTGCAACAATTGACATTTTTTTCCCCAGTACATTCAATATTAAATTTATTGTCACGCGAGGGAGAGGGCGCCCTTGGTCCCCCTCTGTAATGGGGGTTTAATTTGGAGAAGGAATCACGTTAGAGGAGCGATCGATGCCATGACAATTAACTACATCTCGGGTGGAATCGCGGTCCCCGCTCTAATTGCTATCGATACCGTTTCAGCACACACTTAAAACACTGGCTGCAGGCGGGGCTCGGCGGTGGCGTTGGGCGGGCAGAATGCACCAGACTTGGGGGTCTCGGGAGGGAGCCACTTGCCGTGTGTGGGGCCAGGACCTGCCAGCCCTGTGCTCATGGGCCTGAGTGAGCGGGCTCTGGGCCCCAGCATCAGGACCTGTGGTGTCACCGTAGGCAAAGGCGTTAGGATAGTCAGGTGGATGAGGCAGCTGCTTGCTCGGCACCTGTCCCACCAGGGGCCCGGGCTTCCTTGTGTGTTCAGACCTGAACTCGGGGCTGCATCCTGGCGTGCTCAGTACCCCCGGCAGGGTGTCGGGGCTGCTCTGCGCTGCTGGGGCCATCTTGTTCCTCCTTGTTGCTATGCGCGGTTGACTTAGAAACTCCTTGGCTGGACTGCAGGGAAAATAATTTCCTGCGAGGATGGAGCAGAGTCCCCTGGCGCCTCATTCCCCTCGCCTCCCAGCTCCGCATCCGGGAGGTGGGCAGGACCGAGCGCTATTTGCCTGTTTACCTGGCGGTTTGGGAGCCTGCTGGTTTCAGCGAGGGAACCGGGAGGGGAAATGTGTTTGCAGTTCTGGGCAGGCGCTCTTGAGAGCAGCTCTCCACACTGTGAAATCGCCCGTTACCTCTCTGGTGCACTTGGGAGGGGGCACCGCGCTGGCTGGTTTCCATCTGCGCCCCCCCCTTTCTGGCTTCCTTTTTTTTCCCTCTCTTCCCCCCCCCCCATTATTTGTAAGTTCACTTTCCTGCCTCAACTCCCTTCTTGTCTTTAACCTACGAAAAGATGTCGCCTTGGCTAGGAGGACGTGGGGGTGGACATCAGAAATCCGCGTGGGAGAGACTGGCCGGGCACTTCCAGATGGAGCGAGTCTGCCCCGAGATGTGAGTTCCGCTTCCTTTTGATCCATCTTATTTATGCACATGGAGGTATTGATACGGGAGAAATGTATCCAAACTGAAAATAATTGGATCCCTACAGCTGACTCTGGGATATTAAAAGCAGCGCCACTTGGCCGCGTCTTTGTCTTGTTAGGTTTGATCATGAGATCACAATACAGTAATCTCGGGCTCAAATTTCGGGCATAAAGATGCCGTGTTCCAAATGTGGCCTCAGGGAACGCGCCGGCCCACGCAGCCCTGGGACTGTCTCATCTTATTATTTTTCAACAGTTCTTGGCCTGCTGAGGTCAGTGTTTTGTCTCTTTTTGAGTGTTCCTCTATGCTTGACACCTTTTCCTATTTTCTTTCTTTAAAAAAAAAAAATGGGGAGGGGTGGGGAAGGACTTCGCTGTGATGACCGGAGTCCATCTGCAGTTGGGTGGCATCTGCTCCCCACATGTCACTTCCCTCATTAACAAGCAATTGAATTAATTAAATGCTACTCAGAACACGCATAACAAGCTACCGGCAGTGTCCAAATTAGCAGTGATAATCAAGGCTGATTTCCTTTATTATCCCGCTAAGTGGTATGCACACTCTGGTCTCCCTGTCTGCCCTCATCTATTTACATACCCCCAGCGCCTGCCTCTGGAAGCCGAGGTTTTCTTACCTAGTTAATTTGCCACGATCACCGAGCATGGCGGATTGATGCCCTGCCCCCGCTGCCCCCGCCGCGCTCGGCCCCCTCCCCGCCTGCCCTCCCCACCCCCCTACCCCCCCTGGCCCCAGCCCCAGCCTTTGTATCTCAAGCTCCCTGATAAATTAAAGGCCACCCCTGTGGTCTCTCAAGTGAGTAATAGAGGCAGAAATTTCATTTTGCAACTGGCTGATTTAATGATCCAAAGGGTAATTAATGGCCTGATTATCTTAATGTTAAATATGTCCGGCAGCAATTACGGTGACCTCGCGCTTGTCAAGGTCCGGGCTGTGCTCTCCTTTCAATTAAGTTCTCTGGGGCTTAATGGTATGAATAAACTCCTC